AGGAAAAGAAGGGCTTAGTCTGAAAACTTTTATATTTCCTCTCACTTTTTTTAAACATTGGAAAATCCATTTGGCTCAGAGAAATGAATAGTAAAAGGAGTTCTAACTACTCCGAGCCAACAAAACGTAATGGAAAAAAGGCAAGAGTATGGCTGGACTTTATTTTCTTTTTGCTCAGCACATCCTGTCTTTAATATGAAAGGTAAATAGGCCATGCCCAACATACCAACTCTTTCCAGGTGAAATTATCTAGGTTATAAAAACAAGCAACAACTGTGTTTTCATTATTCTTTAATTCATAGCTGACAGAAATAGCTTCCAAAATAAATCAAAGAAACAAATATTGCTCACAAGGGAGCAAACCCACAAATTTGCCCTCCTTTGATAACTGGCTTTTGTGAATTTTTCTTCTTTCACTTAAATTACAGTTGTGTGGAGTTATCTAAAAAAGTGTGTTGCAGATGCCAGAAGAGGAAAATTTGAATGTTCATATTTGGGTTATTTAAATCCACAGGGGAGAGAGAGAGAGTTTTTGCATAACATTAGTAGACTAACAACCCTGAGAAATTACAAAAACCTTCAATTACAGAAACAAGAAATTTTGCAACGCCTCTCTCCAGAACTCCCAAATATCCACTTCCTTGGCTATGTAATACACCTATGACCTATAAGTTTAGTCATGCTAGTGAGAGTTACACCCATTTTTGTCCTGTAAATTCAGTTTCCCTTGCTTTGTACTACACTTTCTTCTCTATAGTAAAGCTGAGCAAACAGTTTAACAAAAAACATCTTCACAAATAGAACACGGAAAGTTTCCTTTTAAAAGAAATTTGATATATTGATGGATTATTTAAAGCAATGTTAATCGCATTCCTTTCTCGAGATGTCATTTAAATCAAGACTTACCTACATGGCATAATTTAAAGCAGCGTTCTTCAGAGCTCTAGTTGTAGGGAAGTTAATAGGAGTTTCACTAAAAAAGGCGGTATGATAAAATGGAAATGCTTTGGAAGAAGTTAAACAGGGTCCCCTTGCTTTCCTCTTAGCCACAAGATTTCACAGAGCCTCTAAAATGCAAATATGCATTAGGTCCCTTCAAGAGAGGTAGAAAGCACACACCATTTTCTAAGCTAATTTAACTATGAAACGCTTTATTCGAGGAGCATCTCTGGTTCACAGAGCTGGAGGTCCATGGAACACACGGGTTATGAGATGCCTATTTAAAGGTCAGATCTCCCACCCCGCGGGTGTGGCTCAGTGGACTGAGCATCATCCCATGGACTGAGAGGTCCCGGTTTGATTCCTGGTGAGGGCACATGCCCAAGTTTCGGGCTCGATCCCCAGTGGGGGGTATGCAAGAGGCAACCAACTAATGTTTCTCTCACATCGATGTTTCTATCTCTCTCTCCCTTCCTCTCTCTCTAAAAACTCAATAAAAACACATTTAAAAATTAAAGGTCAGATCTCCCTAAAGCTAGGAAATGAGCTGGCTAACACAGAGTGATCAAGTCAGACACTCCACATCTGTCCATTCTGCACTCCCAAAGCACACTGATCTTGGAAACAAAAAAAAAATTAACTGCCCTGGCTGGTTTAGCTCAGCAATAGAGCATCGGCCAGTGGACCAATGAGTCATGGGTTTGATTCTGGCTAAGGGCACATACCTCGGTTGCAGTTCATCCACAGCCCTGGTAGGAGTTATGCGGGAGGCAACCAGTTGATGTGTCCCTCTCACATCGATGTTTCTCTCCCTCTCTCCCTCCTACTCTATCTGAAGATAAATAGAAAAATATCTTCAGGTGAGGACTGGAAAAAAAAAAAAGAATTTAATCTTACAACAAATGTTCAGGAATATATGTTAGGGAAAACAGGACTAGAATAGAATGTATGAAGAGCTTGGTTACATCTATGAAAATATGTAAGTGTGACACCATCTCTACACTTGGACATTTCCCTAATGAGGGGGAGGGAGGGTCTACCTTAGCAAAACCACTTATTTTTTTTAATGTCTTTTGTTGTTGTTGTTGAAAGTATTACAGGTGTCCCCCTTTTCCCCCCCAATGACCCCTTCCTTCCCTCGTAAAACCACTTTAAATATATGGTCTTTTCCAGCCAATAATTGGGAGACATCATCCAATCCTATTTAAAGGCAGAAATTAGTAGTATATGCCATAATAAAAAAGTCACAAATTTCTTTTCAGACTTGCAAACATAAAACACATTTGACAGCTTCCATTTGAGTGCCAATAAATATCTGAAAGGATTCGACACATTTTTAAATCTTTTTTTTTTTTTAAAGAAAAAATAAAAGCTCCAACAATAAAAAGTTACAGTAGTATTTCAGGTGAGTGTGGCTTCAGCTGCAAAGCTGCAGACACTAATGTAGTCAAACACATGCAGCTCACTCTTTCAGCAGATCACAGGAAGTGGGGTATCAGGAAGCCAGGCAAGGTTAACGTTTATACGTACAAAAAGTTCCCACGTTGGAGGGATACCAAGCCATTTGACTTTCTGCTTTCGAGCACACTGCAACAATAAGGAAGTACAAACCTAGATGACAGAAGAATCTAATTGCACTAACTCCTACCTCTAAACTGCTGAAGGAGAAATGAGAAGCAGTTGTTTTTCACTGGGAACTAAGACCGACTGAAACCATATGTCAGTGTCAGCTCCTTCTGAATATGAAATAACCACCTTTGCTTGTTCACGCCTGGCCCAACGCGGACGTGCAAACTTGAATTCTGCACTATTGCATCTCATAGCACAAACTACATTCCATATTCTGCTTTGAAACATCAGTAATGCCTGAGCCAAAATTTCCATCCTGCCTTTAACCAAATGTTGCTTCTGACTGATAAGTTTCAAAGATTAGCCAGGGTCCGAAACATATGTGAAAAAGTCAGAGAAATAACCGTTTTGAAACCCAGCCTTCAGAAACAACGCAAGACCAAAGGAAACTAAAGCTGCCCTGAGATGACCAGGCCATTTCCTCACTTCCTAAAAAGCAAAGCTACCTGACAAAACAAAACGAGAAGGAACCAGCACAAACTGTCGCTGAGTGAGGCCTTCTCCGGACCACGCTACTTGAACTTAACTTCCCCGCGCCCCCCCACTCCTCACCTGTTGCTCAATTTTTTTTAAGCCCTTATCACCCAATCCTATAACTTATCTGTTAATTATGTTTATTGTTTACATCTAACTTGCTTTCATAAGAGCAATGATCTCTGCTGGGTTTTGCTTTTTTAACTGATAAATCCTGGTGCCTAGAACAGTTTCCGGCACACAGAATGCTGCTCACTAGATTTTTGTTGAATGAATGAACAGACAATACTATTCTTTGCTATCTCTGGATCCTAGAGTTCAAAACATAAGGAAAATATTTTAATCCTTTTTCCTTTTCACCTAAAAGTCAGGCTGAGGCTTCTCCCTACCCTAATCCACAACAAAAAAAAAAAATTTTTTTTTTTAAGAAAATTGGTATGAACTAGCTTGAAAATGTGCCATGTTGATTACATTAACAAAGAAATTCGGGATACATTTTATTTTACCTTAACTAGTCTGTTAAAAAAACAATGCTTAGTAAACTTTAGTAATAAACATACCTCTTTATAAATGATTCTACTTCCTAAATGATTCCTTTTTCTTTATTCCCCTTGATTTAACCAGTGATCGTTGTAGCTAAATTATTCAATTTCCTTCACAAATCAGGGCATTAAATCCTCATATGTCTGGCAATTACTGTGCTGACTGTATAATAAATATTAACAGTCTGCCCACACAAGGCCTATCAAAGCAGAGATAAATGGTAAATAATGATTTTAGATATAAGACCCTCCCCTCTGCCATGTGGAGATGCCAACACTCTTCCTGTCTTACTCTTCACCAAACCCATCCTTAGTTTGAAAGTGCGGTGGATTCTAATACATACAGGAGAGAGGCAGATACATAAATGGAGGAAGAATCATGAAAAATTTATAAAAAATTTTTATTTTAAATTTCCCAATAGAAAAAAAAAAAAAGTATTGAGGTCTGATGTGCTCCATGGGTATCCGTTTGCAATCTCTCGTTAAAAGCCTCAGCTCAGAGATCACTGCCACCCAGAAACCCCTCTCACCTCCTGCCCCGAATGGGTGAGGTGCTCCCATGGTGTGCTACGTGTAACCACCCCTGGTTTCCCCAGACACTAGTAGAGTTCCTTCAACGTGGCCATCTCCCCTGTGGAAAGCATCTTATTCATCTTTATATTCCCAGCGTTCAGCAGAGTGCCTGGAACATAGTAGAAGCTCAAAAAATGTCTGAATAAATGAAAATTGAGTAAGACCACCTAGGCACACACTTCTAGTAGCCACTTTGAACTCATCAGTCTATTTCCTAGCTTTATACCTTAACCAACCAACCTCAGGGAAACATGCAATAAAGGTCATAAGCATTGATACCACGTGTCAGACTGAAAGACACAAGCCCACGCCTGGAGATTTATAGTGTTTCTCTGTTATGAGGACTATACACAGCCTTCAGCAAATTGTGAAAATAGAAAAAAAGAAAAAAGAAAGAGGAGATATGACAGACAAAACAGTTGTATGCCATGTGCCTTGTTGGAGATGAGCAAATATATGAAAGAAAATTCAGTAAATTACTCCTGATTTCTCCATCACTCAAAATATCCCCTGAGCTTCTTAACAGGTGATAGTTAAGTAAGGCATGTTAAAAACATCTCTATTTTGCTTCTTAGCCAGAACTTTAAGAAGAAAAAAAACTCTGCTTATTCAACAAATAATTAAATTTCACACACACACATTATACTCTTCCTAAAAACCAATAAATACGGAACTTGCATTCAAGGTACTATTTGGAAACAGATCCAAGTGTGGAACTGCTCTCCAAAGTACGATCACATTGCAGCAAAGCCGGCTTCTTGGGAAGCCACAGAAATGTATCCTATACCTTTACAATTCTTCTCTTTGTATTTTCTCATGATGAAAGCATCAAGGAAAACTTACAGCTGTGCAAAAGATGCACTGGCATTCCTGAAGTGTGGTCATCTTGTCCAAAGACTGTTCACACAGGCAGAGTTTGCAAGTGACAAGAGGAGCCAGAGCCAGGTCTCCAGGCGCTGGATTTTCGGCAGTCATGGTGAGATAATGCAGCCTACCAACCGAGCCCATCAGACTGTCTTCAGCCTCTTTAGTTGCCTCAATCCCTGCAGAAAGGTGTAAAGCATAAAATATTATATCCATTGATACAACCAATACATTGGGGCACCAAAAGAGCAAATCCTCACCCTCAATGATCTCTAAGCGTACAGTGAATACATTTCTGAGAACCAAGGGCTAGAGAGTTTGCCACCTTGGCAAGATGACTCTAGAGTCCTAAAATTTAAGGTGACCTCACTGTCCTGACTCATGTCATGTAAACTATGAGAATTAAATGACCACCATGAACAAACACTCCATTTAGGAGGCACACCACTACAATAAATTCAAGAAATACTTAAAATTAGGATGTCACCCAAAGAATTACTATACGATCCAGCAATTCCATTTCTAGGTGCACACCCAAAAGAATGGAAAAGGGGACTCAAACAGATAATTGCACACAAATGTTCATAGCAGCATTTTTCACATTAGCTACAAGTTGCAAATAATCCAAATGTCCATCAATGGATGAATGGGTAAACTAAATGTGCTATAAACATAAAATGGAATATTATTCAGCCTTAAAATAGATTGACATTCTGACCTATGTTACAACATGAATGAATCTTGAGGCCATCCTGCTATGTGAAATAAGCCAGAGACAAAGAGGCAAATGAGTGCATTTATATGAGGTACCCAGAGCAGTGAAGTTCATGGGAACAGAAAGTAGAAAGGTGGTTACCAAGAGCTGGGAGAGAGGGAAGTGGAGAGTTATTACTAAATGAGTAGAGTTTCTGTTTAGGATGATGAAAAAGTTCTCGAAATGGATGGTGTGATGGTTGCACAATACTGTAAACACACTTAATGCCACTAAGTGATACACTTAAAACAGCTGAAATGATAACTCTTATGTTATGCATATATTACTCCAATAAAAATTTTCAGTAAGGTACAAGTATTAATTGTGTTCCTTCGCATACAATATTTCATTTATTGTTTTGCAACCATGATGATGACTGCCTTCATTTTACATTAGAATTGAGGTTCTCAGAAGTTAAGTAGTCTGTCAAAATTCTCAGAGCTTGTATAGGCCAGAGCAAAACTTAACCTACAAGCCCAGTGCCTGGTCTATTATAAAAATAGAGCCGCCTCACAAGTACATATTATGTGGTCGGATGGAGCAGGAAGAGAGAGAAGTAGGGAGGGGGAGGGGCAGAGGGAAAGAGAGACGCGACGTTCACGACAACAGCTATCAGAAGTTCACTGACAGTGTACAGAAGTAAAACTTGTCTCCACACACAGCATAACTATAGGAAAGAATATTTCTACACTGAAAAGTAAAAATGATAACTAAAGTTCTTCCCCTAGATTGTTTTTATTCAGAGTACCTTTAAAAGAGGTAAAATAACTGTGAAAATAATCTTCCTGCATATTCACAGTTTAGAGCTATCATATCATGTTTTGATTAAATAAAAGCAAAATCCTAAAGTTCTTACTATTTTAAAAGAGTAGAGCCCATTCTAATAAATTCTTCCATAGAATTAATTGTAAATACCCTCTCCCCCTACAAGAACCAAACTTTTTCCTCCCAACTTTTTGGCAAAACAAATTATGTGTTCGGCATTTGCTACAAAGCCCCACAGTGGCATAAGTCTCAATATATAGGTAAAAAATAGTTAAACAATAGAGGAGGAAACAAACAGGACCTGCTGGATATCAAATTCTATGCTTTCTAACTGCACTGACTTTCTTAATACCAGAAATTTCAGTAAGGTATTAGTATTATACCAGAAATAGTTAAGTTACTAACTCTAGTAACATGAACTATCCAAGGTTCTTCCCCTACTCCCTGAGTGGTAGTAGAAGTCATGATTAAAAATAAATAGGATGTTGTGCTCGCTTCGGCAGCACATATACTAAAATTGGAACGATACAGAGATTAGCATGGCCCCTGTGCAAGGATGACACGCAAATTCGTGAAGCGTTCCATATTTTTAAAGAATATATGTATTCCCATGTTTGTAGCAGCACTATTTACAATAGCTAAGATCTGGAAACAGCCCAATTGGGCTGTTTCCAGATCTTAGCTATTGTAAAGTGCGTATCAGTAGACGAATGGATAAAAAAGCTGTGGTACATATACACAATGGAGTACTATGCAGCTGTAAAAAAGAAAGATCTCTTATCCTTTAAGACGACATAAAGAGACATGGAAAGTATTATCCTAAGTGAAACAAGACAAACAGCAAAAGACAAGTATCATATAATCTCACTTATTTGTGGAATATAATGAACATAACAGTCTGAGGAATGGGGTAGTCCCAGAGATGTGGAAGTGGGGTATAGACTGACAATCCCCAGAAGAGGAGGTGGTGGGGGAGAGATAAACCACAGAACTTATATGCATGTGTGCATGAACAATGGACATGGGCAACAAAGCTGGGGACAGGACAGAGAGGGAGTGGGAGGGAGGAATCAGTGGGGGGGAAAGGAGAAACATCTGTAACAAAAATAAATTAATTAATTAATTAATTTAAATAAATAAATAAATAAGATGTTAACCAATGACTGGGAAAGACCCAATAAGATTCAAGACAGAGAGTTCTTTTTTATTTTTATTTATTTTTTTATTTTTTTATTGATTTTAGAGAGAGAGGAAGGGAGAGGGAGAGGGAGAGATAGAAACATCAATGAGCGAGAACATTGATTGGCTGCCTCCTGCACACCCCACACTGGGGATCGGACCCACAACTTGGGCATGTGCCCTGACCGGGAATTGAACCAGCAACCTCTTGGTGCATGGGTCGACTCTCAACCACTGAGCCACACTGGCCGGACAAGATACAGTGTTCTTATTCAATTAACTATGAATGAGTTATCATCCAAGAGCAAATGAAATTCAAATCAACCTGTATATCAAATTCGGGATTTTGAAGTTTAAAAAAAAAATCTCTCTTTAGGGCAATTTAGGGGTTAAAATGAATGCTTTTACTTCTCCCCTCTTCCCAGCTTATGCTTAGACAACTTTCACAGATTTGTTCCTCCAAGACTCCCCACAGCACATAGAGGCTCGTCAGTCTCCCCCAACTGCTGTCTTATCATCTCTTTTCCTAACACTGCTCACACAACATATTCTGAATTATCTTTCCCCCAAAAAAAGACCAATCCCAAGTCAAACAACAAGAAGAAATGTACCCTGTAAACGCTTCCTGAGTGGGGAAGATGAGAAATGACAAGGGCCAGATCATCCCACACCACAAACGTCCACCACAGCTCTGAGCCCATCCGAGGGAAACTGTTGTGAATAGATAAGTCCTGCTGTTTCACCTAACAAGAGATCAAGGTATTCTTCAAGAAAGTCGATTATTTCTCCATCTCAACCTATACTATTTGGAGACATTAAACAAGACAAATTCTTAATGTTCTCAAAAAACAAAGCCACAATCTAATACCTTTTAGAAGGTATATCTTATAAACAGCTTTCTTTGGAAGGCAGACCTAGAAACTATGTTCATCAAGGCCATCTAAAACATAATCTTGTCTCTTACCATTTACTTAAGGTTTCTCTCCTTAGGTTGTGAGTTATATGTCTATAGTATAAAATCAAAGTTATAAAAATATAAATATATCCATCATCTCCAAGTTTCCTCCAGCCTTCTTTATTTATCATTGTGTGTGTGTGTGTGTACGTGTGTGTGTGTGTGTAATAAGAACATTGAATATAAGATCTACCCTCTTAGCACATTTTTAAGTATACAATACAGTATTCTTAACTACAGGCATTACTTAGTTCCACGGGTGCTTACTTATCTCCTAACTCATCGAGTTGCATACATGAAATATGTATAACTTTTGTCTGTCAATCATACCTCAATAAAATGGTTTAAAATCTATATAAATTTTAAAAATGTATTTTATATGTAAAAATATTTTATGATATAAAAACTTTTTATAAATTGGAGAGTTTTGTTTAAAAAAAATTCCAAGCATTCCAATCGTTATAATTCTATTATTTGTGACTCCGTGAGAGAGAGGAATGAAGTCACATATTCCATCTCTTTGAGATGTGAACAATCCAAAATAACTCTTCAAAAAGAAGTGATTTATTTTTCTGTGTACAATAACACCAATTCCCTAAAGTGAGGGTTTTCAAATGTTTTTAAAGCAATGGGATTTTATGAAAACAAAATCTTAAGTCCGCCACCACTGTATGAAGCAGATAAGGTGCACGGATGCGAGCTGGAGCAATGCCGGGAGGGCCCGGCCGGGTCCCACTGACCTTTCCCTCCGCCTTCCAGGCACCATCACAGAAGCTGGAGGCTTCACCATGCGAAGTTGGGAAACCAGCCCTTTGGTTTTCACTCTGAGTAAAATCAATAGTGAATATTTTTTAAATGAATGACACGTTAGGCACTTCATACAAAAAAAGTATATCAAACAAGAAATCCTTTCACCATTAATTCATTAGAAATCAAGCTCTTCAAGCAATAATCAGGAGAATCCTGATTTCTCTAATGAACTGCCCCACACTGGAGATATTTGAGAATGGCTGGCTCCAGTGTCCTGGTGTTTCTTCATGTTTGTCTTGTTAACATTCACCAGTCTCCACAACAGGAAACCATCAACAGTAGAATCTCACCAACAGCACAAACACTGCTAGTAAATGGCATGAGATTCAGAAGAGTTGCCCACAGGAAGACTGGCAGCACCTCACCACTCCTCCTGACCGCTTCTTGAGACCACACGTTCAAAGGCGCACTGACAATTCACCACTCCCCTCCAGTTTGCAAGAAAAGTCTTCCTTCTAGGAACCCATACTCATTCTTGTTCAACTTGTTCGGCCTCATACTTCATGTTTTACCTACAATAAGAGTCACTTGAATGTTCTACTCTGCTGTTTGATTTAAAACAGTAACAATTATAATTATTTTTACCATTATTACAAATGTGATTAAACCTCTTATTGGGTATGAAGAACCCAATGACAAAAGAATTTTTGCAGAGAATGAAAAAAAAGAAAGGAAGAGAGGAAGGGAAGGAGGGAGGGAGGAAGGAGAAGGGGAAAAGAAGGGAAGGAAAGGGGAGGGGAGGGAAGGGAAAGAAAGAGAAAAGAAAGGAAAGGGAGAAAGGAAGAAAGATACATGACAGCTGCCTTCAGGTTTAAACTTGTAGGATTGGGGTGGGGTGGTGAGGGCAGACTTCACCCAAATTGTAAAAGTGTCACTTGCTTAACTATAATTAATCACAGAATAGGACAATGACTGGGACATGCAAGGAAGAAAAACCACTCTAAAGCATCTGATTTTGCACTAAGTATCCAGGAAAGGGGAGTCGGCAGTTCCATCCACTCTATGAGTGTCTCTTGCTCTAAAAGTGTTCGTTATATGAGAAGCAATACTATCTGGTAGGAAAGAACAGGAAAGCCACTTTTTCCCTCATGTATTTTCATTGGAATTGCCAAAGAAAGGAATACTTAAGAAGCAGTGTTGGAAGCACAGGATGTATAAGACATTTGTCTGAAAAAGCAATCTGCTCCAAAAATGCAGAGGGTGAGACAGCCAATATTCACAGTATTTTTACCTAATGTATTTGTGCTTGTATCATTACCTAAGATTATAGTAGTTATTCCACTGCACAAAAAGATCATGTGTTTGCAAGAGATTTTGTTTTACTAGGATACTCATATAGTTATTTATAATTTTTTAAAAATATGTTTTTATTGATTTGAGAGAGGAAGAGAAAGAGAAACACCCATCGGCTGCCTCCTGCATGCCCCCTACCGGGGATCAAGCCCACAACCTAGGCATCTGCCCTGACTGGGAATTGAACCTGTGATCCCCTTGGTGCATGAGATGATGCCCAACCGAGTCACATGGGTCACGACTAGTTATTTGGGAATGTTTACACCCTTCTGCAAAACTTTAGAACTTAGATAAATTGATAAAGCACAATTAAAGAGATGACAAGAAATAGAAAGCTACCAAAATTAATCAACTGGATATTACTGATGTATGCAAACATATTACTGATGTATTAATGTATGTAAAAATCCAGTTGAGCTGTGATGAGATCTTAGTTTCAGGCTATGCTATGAAAGTCTAAGAGTTACTCAAGAACAAGGAACAAAACAGAAGGGGAGATACACGAACACTCTCAAAATGTCTACATGCCCATGCAAGACATTGAGTCCTCCCTGTGAGGTAGCTAGAATAAAAGATATGAATGCACCCTGGCCAGTTTGGCTCAGTGGTTGAGCATCAGCCCAAAGACCAATGAGTCGCGGGTTCGATTCCGGTCAAGGGCACGTACCTCGGTTGCAGTTTATCCCTGGCCCTGGTCAGGGTCGTGCGGGAGGCAACCAGTTGATGTGTCCCTCTCATGTTGATGTTTCTTTCTCTCCTTTTTTTCTCCCTCTCTCTCCCTTCCATTCTATCTGAAGATAAATAGAAAAATATCCTCAGGTGAGGATTTAAAAATATAATAATAATAATAAAATAAAACAAAAGATACAAATGCATGACTGCAAGAGGGAGCTAACCAAGGGAAGTGCTTTCAGGAAGGGCAGGTGGTGGGAAGGTATGGCTTTAGTGTCACCTTGCATAATCAGATTCTCAGGAAGCCAGTATTCTAATAGAGCAGAAAGAAAAACAATCAAAAAGACCTTGTTAGGAAAGCTCTCCCAATACCAACTAAGAATGACATGCCAGGCAACCATCTTCCACTCAACACAATCTGAAAATTAGAACTATGTTCACCTTGGCACTTCTGCCCAATACAGTGATTTATTTAGCTACTGGTTTATGTTCTTAACAGAAGCTATTAGTAACTAAAATACTCACTGAGTCTAGTAGAGTGCTGACATGCATGAGCCATTTGCTGAAGTTCTACTCTAAATACCGTCTGGAATGGAAGGTAGATCAGCTGGCTGGTAGAGTAACAAGGGCCATGGGGAGCACTGGTGTTCAGCAAGGCAAGTTCTTACAACAGAACTCCGTACTGGCCGGTGGTGTGGTTCTACTCCTAGCTTATATCTTTCACCCATTCTCTGGTCATTCAAGGACTAGATGAACCAGTGCACATCCAAAAATATCAGAAAAACAGTTGTAACATGTGCCCTGAGAGGGTAAGAACAAATGGGGACATCGCCTCACTAGTAATCAGAGAAATGCAATTACTCAAGTATGTTTTATATCTATTAAATTATTTTTTAAAAGAACAACGCTCAAGGCCAATGAGTAGGTACATGGCATCACACATGGGACACTTTGTCATTATTTGAAAAAGGTAAAATAGATCCAAAACTATTCTCCAGAAAATGCTTAATTCTTAGATGTGATAGAAGTAAACCTTCACCTACTGAGGCTTTGTGAGGTAGTAGCGTTGTTGAAAAATGCTGTTTATCACCATGCCTCACGTGATAAAAAGGAAAGTCTGTTCTTCCCCACTGTTTAAAACCTTCATTTAGAGGAAATTAAGAAATGAAAAAATACTTCAGTCTTTAATTCCTTAGTTTTAACATCTTTGTCTCATCCAGGATGACAATAAGATTATAACTTTGTAACCTGAAGACCATTATCTTGTAAAGTGGAACTGGGATGCTAATAAATCTTTATTAACTTGTCTTGTGGATGAAAAGGACAGACACTCCATTACGATGGGCATCTTAAATATTGGCGAGAGCTGTTTTCTAGACAGTCTCCTTGTTATTTGAAATCAGGATATGAATAAAGTCTCTTACAAACATTTTAATAAGATCTATTTTTTCCCAGTTTTATTTAAATATAATGGATACAAAACACTGTATGAGTTGAAGGTATGCAATATAATAATATATATATATTTTGTGAAATGATTACCATAATAAAATTAGTTAACACATCCGTCACCATCTACAGTTGCAATTTCTTTATGGTGAGAATAATAAGATCCAAGTTTTATATATTTTTTCCTACAAAATATAGGTAAAATATATGGAAAGAGATATGTGATTATGGACAACGAAGAACATGACATTCTGATAAACTAACTCTAAACCCTATAAAGCGCAGAGCATCTGGGATGTCAAGTTTTAACAAAGGCAAAATGCTGATCCTTTTTCTAAAAAGCACATTTCTTTTTTCTTGCTTTCTTCCCATGTTCCTTACCACTACAGGATAAGGCCCAAGAGAAGGAAATCCATTCTGAGCTCTCCTAACAATAAAAACATATCGAAGAAGAGGAGAGTGAATTTTAGAATAACAGGTCAATGATATTCTTGGCATTGGAATTTTACATTCATAATAGCTCCCTCCCTCACACCACCATGTGCCCTGCCCACCCCCTTTTCAATCAGAGGTTCCCTTGCTTCCCACAGTTATTCCTACAGCCCTGCTGAGTAATTTTCTTCCCCTGCCTGGCATAACAACAAAGCCCAGAAGCAGGAAGGAATGCCACTTAAAGGCAGGTCAGACAATGATGTAATTAACAGATCAAGGAGAAGTATTATTTCAGGCAGGCCCACAGAGCAAGAGGAGGGCTGATTTCTTGGGTCATGACATGACCAGCAAACTATAGTTGCTAAAGCACAAATCTCTACATCAAATTTTTTTTTCTCCAAATGAATAAAAGCATATGTAACTATTACCCTCTCCTGTGAAAGTTAAAAGTTGCATATAGAAATTTTAATTAGAAACCAATTTAAAACCAGTTTAGAAGAGGAAGCTCCTCCATCCCACACTAAGTAAAGTGCAGGGTGTGTACTTTTGTATGTCTTTGCCAAATCAGTTTCTTAAGAAACCAATAATACAGGAAACAAAGGCAACCCACCAAGAACTGAATTCTATAGATGTTAGGTGCTAAAGATGCAGAGATGATTAAATCCAGTCCCTGCTTGTAAAGAGTAAGATGGTTGAGGGGGTTGTCAATGGTTACTTTCATGTAATCATATACAGGACAGTTTGCAGGTTTATAGCTTCAGCCACAAGTCCAGCAAAGAGAGAAATGAGATGCCTTGTTCTATCTTTCCAAGAAAGACAAAGAACCAGTTGTCTAAAGGTCTGGGACTCAAACTCATGACTGCAGAGGAATTAGAAACTAATGAGACATGGCTTTCCAAGTATTTTTTTTTTTAAATAATTATTCTTTATTGATTTTAGAGAGAGAGGAAGGGAGAGTGAGAGAGATAGAAACTTCAATGAGAGAAAGCATGAATTGGCCACCTTCCGCATGCCCCCCCCCCACTGGGAATCAGGCCCACAACCTGGGCATGTGCCCTGACCCAGGATCAAACAGGCAACCTCTTGGTGCATGGGTAGATGCTGAACCACTAAGTCACACCAGCCGGGCTCCAAGTATGTTTTTGTTTTTCTTTTTTTAAATATTTTT